GCTTCTGTCCGGAGGTGAGATGAGAAGGCAGAGAGGGTTAGGAGCTGGTTGAATGGATATGGGAAATCAGGGGTGGAAGGGAGGAGTGTGCTGTCATAATATAGGGAGAGCAATTAGGGTCACATAACAATGTATGTATAAATTTTTGTATGAGAGACTAACTTGAAATGTAAACTTTCACTTAAACTATAATAATAAACAAAAAAAGGATAGCCTTCAAAAAGATAGCATTTATTTTATTTCTAAAAATTGGATTTTAATCACAGCTTTCCTTTACAAAGTTTAAAGTTTTTAAATGCAAATGAGTTTCATTTTTTAAAATCCTACTATACAATCACTTGGTTTTTTAAAAACAGGTACATTAGAATGCATCAGATCTTTCAGTTTAAGAGCAAGCCGACAAGAAGGGGGTGGAAAATCTGGTACAGATTACACGGTCCTGTGGTATGAAGGGGACAGGAGTACCCTTGTTAAGGGGCCTAAACATTTTTCCACAGGAGCCCAGAACCCTGCTCTTGTTAAAATCAGTTACCATCAAGTTGACCCCAACTCATGGATACCCCATGTCTGTCAAAGTAGAATTGTGTTCCATAGAGTTTTCAGTGGCTTATTTTGGAGAAGTAGATCATCAGGCCTTTCTTGCAGGCACCTCTAGATGGACTTGGCACTTCCAACTTTCAGTTAGCAGTCAAGCACGTATTTCTCTAAACAGCCAGCTCAGACTATTGAAAATAAGAATTGTGTTTCAAAACTTCTGTTTTTGTAACTTTTAGCAGAATACTCATGGCATAAAGTGAAGTTATAAAGCCAAGAGTTGTATATTATCTCATCTGTCTTCCCAGATTCTTCACTTAAAATTTGATTAAAGAAGTAGTTATACTTTGAGGATAGAGAACAATTAGTTGCAAGTAGTATTCCTATGGTTTTAGTTTCTGAGTGTTAATTCTGCCTCTGCTCTTTTTATCCTAACTTCTAACTGAGAGTTTCCAGAACTAAATGGAAACTTTAAGACAGCCAGTCTACCCTCAAGACAAAAAGAGTTTGAGAAACGATGTCTTTGTAGGTGACACTATTCCACAAACATCCTGCTCCAGCAACGTTGTCCTGTAATGGCCAATAACCTGTCTGGGCCTGTGTTACTTGGTGATTTCTATTAAATTTGAAACTGTAATTTGTTATCATTCTTTCAGTGATTCTTATTCGTAAAAGAAAAAAGAATTTATTTTTCTTCTTTTTTGTAAGGAAGTTTTCTCTTAGATAAAAATTCTTTAATATGTAAAAAAAAAAAAAAAATTAGAATATTTTTTAAATATTCCAAGTAAAAAAAAAGCATCCTTAGAGATGATCTTCTGAACATGGTTTAAATTCAAAAATCTGTGTCTTCCCAGATAAAATGAATTTTTGCTCATGGAAGACATGTTTTCAAAAGGCACAGATTGTTATTGCTAGATAGAACTTAGAGAGCATGTTGGGTACTGAGTGCTGGGAGATACAGAAGGAATAGGAATTTGAAAATATTTTTAAATCACAACTTCACTTTTTTCCTAATTATTCTTCCAAATATTTTTTACCTGTTGTCTAGTTACAACAAAATTGCCTCTGTTAAATGACACCTAAATATGAGTCCATCTTTAATTAGGCTCATGACGTTGGGTAACCACGATATTGACCTCCACGAATTATACTAGGGACTCTTGTCTAGATATCATAATGAATTTGTTCATTCATTCATTTTCCCATTTTAAAACATTTGAGTGCCTACCATGTACAAAACCAAAACCAAACCCATTGCCACTGAGTCAATTCCGACTCATAGCAACCCTATATGACAGAGCAGAACTGCCCCCATAGAGTTTCCAAGGAGCAGCTGGTGGATTCGAATTGCCAACCTTTTGGTTAGCAGCCGGACACTGTCGCAGCCCCTCACACGGGGCACCATCTGTCGCAGCGGCGACGGTTGTCGGGATGGCGAAGACAGTAACCAACTGCACAACTCTTACAGAGAAGTGGGGCCAGGAGGGTCACTCTGAGGAGTCGAACCCCAGCTTCAGTCCCAGGAGTTTATTTATAGTCAATACAGCAAGCAGTGAAGCAAATAACAGAACAATGGGCTTTGGGTGAGTAACAATAAGTTTTGGGCAAGGGAGAAGGAATTCAGGAAAACAAGCCAATCAGTAACAGCAATAGGTTTGGGAAAACAAGTCATGCCTAATCTCATTCTTATCGCTGACAAGTCTCCAACATGTCGTATACAGCATAGAGGCCTGTGGGGGCTGCAGTTGTCAATAGTGCAGCCATGTTTAAATGGCATATATCCCACAGGACACTTAACCACTGTGCCACCAGGGCTCCTACCATGTGCAAGGCATGGTATTATGTGCTCTGAATATGATGACTGACCAACAACTCTGCAGAAAGCTTATAGTCTGTTAATCGAGATAATACTTCTAAATAACTATAGGCAGTTTCCGGGTTACAAACTCCAACTTATGGACAGCTCATGCTTTCTCTTTAATGTCGTGTATATTTGCCCTCACTTTGAAATGATTGAACCAACCCCTACTCAAAACAAATCACCTTCACTTGCTGCACGTGCAGCTTTTAAATCATTGAAAAGGCTTCAAGCCTTTTCTTGCACTAAAGTAAAGCTAAATAAGAACTGTATGTACCTGTTCCGACTTACCTACAAATTCTAGTTAAAGACACAGTTAGGAACGGTCTCCTTCATAACCCGGGGACTGCCTGTGTAACAAATGTAGAAAGCAACAAGGATCCTAAAATAGGTACAGACAACAGCTATGAAGGTTTAGAGAAAGGCAATATTCTATGTCAGGAAGAATTTGGGATGGCTTGCTTAGTGGAGGCTGTTACATTTGGTTTAGATGTTAAATGATATTTAAGAGTAGAACTTTATTTATGGATAATAGTGGCAAATACTCCAGGCAAAACAGAAAACAGGAGATCTAAAACTTTGGTGCATGGACAGGGAGTCATGTATAGCTCAATCCAAGTGAAGTGGAGAGTAGAAAGGGGAAGGATAGAAAGTAAGTGGGGGCAGATCATGGAGCCTTTGAATTCCTGACTAAGATACCTGGGGTTCTTCAATAGCCAATAGAGAGCCAGGAAAAGGTTCTGAGCACTATGTTCTAAGCAGTAATGTGTAATCTGGATTAGAGTGAGGGCCAACTGAAGGCAGAGGGAAGTTGGGGTTCCTTTTGTAAGATAATGAAGGCTTGAAGTAGGGAAGTGGGAATGACAACACAGAAATACTGCATAGGTAGCTGAGAGAAGCATGGCAACATTTGGGATATAGGGCAAAGAAAAGAGGAGTAAAGTATGATCCAAAGTTTTGAACTATCATTCTGTAAAATAACAAGGAACCCTACAACAGAGTTCTCCCAGACAGTTTTCCTACTTGTCACCCCCCTTGGTCTCTGCCTCCTCCAGATCTATCCTGCAGAGCAGCGTACCTGTTACAAAACAGGAAGGCAGGTACCTGCTTCAGATTTGCTCAGGAAGTAACAGGCAAGAATTAGATGGCAACCTGTCTTGCCACCTTCAGGAATTGTTTGGCTCTGATAGTCACCCGACTCCTATTGGTTGTGGCATCAAATTCTTCCTAAATTGCATGCCCTGGAAACAATAATCTCCCATGACTGATAGCCCTGCCTGCCTCAAAACCTCAACATGCATCACTTTCTCAATCCCAGCCACTGGTCTCTTTTTAGCTCTTCAAACAGGCCAAGCCTCTCTCATGCCTCAAGGCCTTTGCACATGCTGTTCCCTGGAACAATCTCCTTACCAAATTTTCACATTTATTGTTCTTTGTTTATTTTTTGGCCTCAGCTTAAATGCCACCCACAAGGACCCCCAAGGACTTACCTGATCACTTCATATAAAGAACATCTGGCCTTTTATTCTCTATCTGAGCCCTCTGTTTCTTTCCTTCATGGTACTTATTACAACTTGCACAACTATTTTATTTGAATTTTTACTCTTTTTTCCCCCTTTGGGCTTTTTTCCTGATAAAACATAACTACCGCAGCAGCATAAACTATGTCTGTTTTCTCAGTCTCTGTACCCTTAGCACCAACAACACTGCCCGGCACTCCGTAGCAGTTGCTCAATAAATAGTTGTTGAATGAATGAGTGAATGAATGAATGAACCCACTGTTCAGAAGCCTTTATATGGCCTAAAAATAGGATCACTTATTTCAATTTGAATATATTCAATTTGAGTATAACAAAAGTGGTAACAATAGCCACCTATTTTCTTTAATCGTCAGAATAACATTCATATAAAGAGTATTCATAGTCTTCTAACAGTGATATTTGGGAAACAGAATGTAGATATTCCTTGAATTTCTTAATTTTCATAAAAACTATATGGTACCAAACTATGTTACAGTGTTTTCCAGCCCTTTAAAAAAATGAAATGAAATAGAAAATATCAGAGTGTGCTGCATATAAGAAGGGTAAGTTTAGTTCCAGTAAACTTTTCAGTTTGTGGTGTGTGTCGCCACAATGTAAAATTATTTTTTACTGTGATTCAAAGTCAAAATACATTCTGATATTTTCCATGTTATCCTAATCCCTTATCTGGCTGCTATCATAGCTCTGCAAATCCAGCCACAGATTGTCATTCTGCAGTATTACGATTCCTTACAGCCTATTTGCGATGGAAGCTTCCCCAGAAAGGCACACCAAAATTTGATTTTTTTTTTTTTTTTTGTATTTTCTTATAAATCAGCATACCTAGGGTCTCTCAGAATGCTTGGGCTCACTGTAACGTGCATTTCCAGAGTTCTTTCTCTGCAGAGTACTGAACAGCTTTTAAATTAACAAGAAAAACAAAACAAAGCACCTAGGGTAGGACAGTGGTGAGAATTGCTGCTGTTTAAATCAGGAATTTGAAACAATGATTTGATGAACATTAACGACATCTGCTAAAATAAAATTTACATTAACTTCTTTTTTTTTCTTTTTCTCTTCTCTCTAAGCTGGTTGCCTTGTGCTTGGCTGTATGATTTTCCCTGATGGCTGGGATTCAGATGAAGTAAAACGAATGTGTGGAGAAAAGACAGACAAGTACACTCTTGGGGCTTGTTCAGTCCGCTGGGCATACATCCTGGCAATTATTGGAATCTTGGATGCCCTGATCCTCTCGTTTCTAGCATTCGTGCTTGGTAACCGACAAGACAGCTTGATGGCAGAGGAACTGAAGGCAGAAAACAAAGGTAAGATTTGCACAAAACTTGATGACATTCTTTATTCTTTCCCATCAAGTGCTAGTACTTCCCCTGTGGTTCGGATTTGCTTCCCTCAACTCAAGAAATTTACACGTTTAAAATACAGTATTTTTACACTTACCTTTCGCAGGCTCCCTGCATCCCTTATGATCGTTTCATTTCATGTTTACGGATTCTTGTTTCGTCCGTTTATGATTTCAGTTTGCTATCAAAAGTTAATGGCAAAATAGCACATACCAAAAAAAAAAAAAAAAGAGTTAATGGCTGTGATACAACATTATTTATCTATTTGGTTGAACAGAGAGTGCTTCCTCTCCATGTATTCAGCTATTTTCCAGGTTGAAATAAATGCCTGGGAAATCTCGTAGAATCATCTGTAAATGTCATTCTTAAACAACTGCTCACAATCATTTTATTTGGATTTAGACTTATTCTCTCAGAGAAGTAGTGATACTGGCCCCAAATAGTCCCCGTTAGAGATTTCTCTAGTTACCTACTGTCTTAGTCATCTAGAACTGATCTAACAGAATTAGATGTGGATGACTTTAACAAAGAGAAATTTGTTTCTTCACATTAAAGTAGGCTAAAAGTCCAAATTCAGGGCATCAGCTCCAGGGGAAGGCTTTCTGTCTCTCAGTCGGCCTTCTCATTAATCTTCCCCCGGACTAGGAGCTTCTCTGCGCAGGGACCCCAGGTCCAAAGGACACGCTCTGCTCCCGGCACTGGTTTCTTGGTGGTATGAGGTCCCCCTGTTTCTCTGCTCAGCTCTCTCTTTTGTATCTCAAGAGATTGCCTCAAAACACAATCCAATCTTGTAGATTGAGTCCTGCCTTACTAACACAACTGCCGCCCATCCTCCCTCATTAACATCATAGTGGCAGGATTTACAACATATGGGAAAATCACACAATACCAGGAATCATGGCCCAGCCAAATTGATACACACATTTTCGGGGGACATAATTCAATCCATGACACCTACTTAGCTGAATTTTAAATATGCTATCTGGGTAATCAAAAGTTCTGAGATTTCAAGAGGAATTGCTTTCTGAAACATAAAGAAACTAGGAGAGAAAATAGGACTTAAGTATCAGAGTGAGGCAATAAGAGGTAACAAGTTGTTATTTAAGGTGAACTTTTTAATTTTCTCTGCAGATTTCTAAACCAAGTTCTTGGGATACAATTTTAATATCTCTATTTTAAGTTCACTTTTTATCTTTATGTTAACTTTAATACTTTAGACTTACATCGGCAATTTCAACTAAGTAGGTCCTTCTTCCAGCTTTCATTCCTAATTGGGAACTAAATCCATCCTGGAATTATGAAATTTAACATTATTTCAAGTAGCTGCTACTTTCAAAAGCTCTTTACTGCTTCAACAGGCCTCACATGTAAGCATATATTAGTATCTACATGAACATTGCATGTAATTATAGTGTGGCAAGCTTTTTATTTAGACCATCACTGTTTATGCTCATAAACTATGACCTATAAAGAGGTAAAATTGAAAAGTCATGCAACAGTCATGCATAAGCCCATTATCTCCCTGATTTATAGACAGGGAAGATATAAGTTTTCTTGGTCTTATCAAAAATACCCTAAACACAAAAAGAACTTTTTCACAGAAGGGAGTGGTGCAGAAACTTCCTCAAAGGCAAAACGACTTCCTCTCAGAGTTACTTACCCTTTCTAGATATTAAGAATGATATGAAGATAATAATTACAGCTTAATTTTTAAAGCATGTTACAGATTTAAAGTACTCATTAATTTGCACTAGTTAGTTTTGTTCCCTGGTCTGTTGTCTTTGTGGCTTGCTGAATGTACACAGGTCTCTGCCCAGTTAACTGCACTTCAAATTTGATAGTAAGGATAGCTTGATATTAGAAGAAGTTGCCTTTTCGTAAAAGATTAATTAAACACCCCTTTGTTCCATGACCACCAATTGGTCAATTGAGCACCTAATTGGCTTGATTCCCACGACCAGCTAATAATCGACCAGGTGCTATTTATTCCCTATACAAAGTTACATTGAGAACCTTAACTTCCCAAGCATCTTTTGACCACAAATAAGAAGAAAATCCAGGAAAAGAAAAAAATAACAAAATCACGAAGATTTTTACCTGGACGATTGAAAATTCCAACATGTACCCATATACAAGTGGCAATTCTCCTAAATTCGTGCTTCAGAAAGGAACAGCCAAGATTATAGAAGAATACTCGCCAGTTTTCAAAATGGGTCTTTTCTCCTGGTTGATTCAAATAAATGTTGATGTCTGATCCCTTCTGTTGAGCTCTTCATTAAAGAAAGCATCCTTTTCCACTCAGTGGTATATGGAAAACACCTTGGTAAAAGGTTTGACAAGAAAGAAGGTTAAAAGAGGCCAATATAAGGTTTAGAGATAATCAGTGTATGATTTTTCTGTGTTCATCGTCTTCTCCATTTGAATGTATCACCATAGTTTCTTCTATTTCGTTTTGAAAAACGAAAATCAGTAGTAGTTCATCAGCATCAAATCAGACAGATCCAATGAAGTAGAGCAGCAGGCCATGTTGAAGCATTTCAATTGTACTGAGTTTTTATTTCACAATTGAAATTCCTTAATCTAAGACTTTGAAGGAGTGTCAATGGATCTACTATTCAGGCATTTCAGACACCCATTCAACAGGGTGTATAAAATCACACTAGGATGTCTAAGCCTTGTGTAAAATTTAATCAGACCTGTATGTTTCCAAGGAATGGTACAAGATTTACAGTTGTACAAAGTAGCCTTTATTGTTTGGTATTATTTAAACACTTCTTCAACATTGAGACTTCCAAAGTCACATTATTTTAGGGAAGACCAGTCAGTGAATACTCACTGTGTATGAGTAGATTTGCACTAACAGTAGTTTAGTGGGTTTCAAGTACATGTAATAACCAAACTAAATCGCATTCACGTTACCTTCTATAGATCCTAAAGAAAGAGAGATCTGCTTTAATAAAAAGATAAGAATGATTTATAATTATGAAATCAATTGATCATACTTGAATGGGTACTTTTACAATTTGTATGGATGAATTTATATAACTTTTCACTTATTAAAACATTCTTTTTCACTACTAATTTTTTTTCCTGATAAAAGTACAGGCACACCTTGGACATATTGTGGGTTCAGTTCCAGACCACCACAATAAAGCGAATATCTCAATAAAGCAAGTCACACGAATTTTTTGGTTTCCCGGTGCATGTAAAAGTTATGTGTACACTATACTGTAGTATATTAAGTGTGTAATAGCATTATGTCTAAAAAAATTGTACAATACCTTAATTAAAAAGTACTTTATTGCTAAAATATGCTAACCATCATCTAAGCCTTCAGGGTCTTGCCTCAATGTTGATGGCTACTGACTGATCAGCATGGTGGTTGCTGAAGGTTGGGATGACTGTGGCAATTTCTTAAAATAAGACAACAATGAAGTTTGCTGCATCAATTGACTCTTCGTTTCATGAAAGATTTCTTGGTAGCATGCGATGCTGTTTGATAGCATTTTACCCACAGTAGAACTTCTTTCAGAATTGGAGTCAATCCTTCAAACTCTACTGTTGCTTTAGCAACTAAATTTATGAAATATTCTAAATCCTTTGTTGTCATTTCAGCAATGTTCACAGCATGTTTATGAGTAGATTCCATCTCAAGAAACCACTTTCTTTACTCATTCATAAGAAGCAACTCCTCATCCGTTTAAGTTTTATCATGAGATTGTGACAACTCAGTCACGTCTTCAGGCTCCACCTCTAATTCTAATTCTTTTGACATTTCTACCACATCTTCAGTTACTTCCTCCATTGAAGTCTTGAACCTCTCAAAGTCATCCATGAGGGTTGGAATCAACTTCTTCCAAACTCCCGTTAATGTTGATATTTTGACGTCCTTCCATGGGTCACCAATGTTCTTAATGGCATCTGGTGAATTCTTTCCAGAAAGTTTTTAATATACTTTGCCCAGATCCACCAGAGGAATCTCTATCTATGGCAGCTATAGCCCTGCAAAATGTATTTCTTAAATAATAAGACTTGAAAGTCAAAATTACTCCTGGGTCCATGGGCTGCAGAATGGATATTGTGTTAGCAGGGATGAAAACAACATTAATTTCCTTGTACGTTTCCATCAGATCTCTGGGTGACCACATGCAGTGTCAGTGAGCAGTAATATTTTGAAAGCAATCTTTTTTTCTGAGCAATAAATCTCAACAGTGGGCTTAAAATATTCAGTAAACAATGTTGTAAACAGATGTGCTGTCATCCAGGCTTTGTTGTTCCATTTATACAGCACAGGAAGAGTAGATTTAGCATAATTCTTAATGGCCCTAGAATTTTCAGAAATGTAAATGAGCATTGGCTTCAACTTAAAGTCACCAGCTGCATTAGCCCCTAACAAGAGACTCAGCCTGTCCTTCGAAGCTTTGACCAGGTATTGAATTCTCTCTAGCTATGGAAGTCCTAGATTGGCATCTTCTTCCAATGTAAGGCTATTTCGTCTGCATTGAAACTCTGTTGTTTAGTGTAGCCACCTTCTTCAATTATCTTAGCTAGATCTCCTGGATAACTTGCTGAAGCTTCTATATCAGCACTGCTGCTTCACCTTGCACTTTTATGTTATGGAGACGGCTTCTTTTCTTAAACCTCATAACCTGCTTCTGCTAGCTTCAAACTTTTCTTCTGCAGCTTCCTCACCTCTCTCAGACTTCATAGAATTGAAGAGAGTTAGGGCCTTGCTGTGGATCAGGCTTTGGTTTAAGGGAATGTTGTGGCTGGTTTGATCTTCTGTCTAGACCACTAAAACTTTCTCCATATCAGCAAAGGATTGTTTCACTTTCTTATCATTTGTGTGTTCACTGGAGTAGCACTTTTAATTTCCTTCAAGAACTTTTCCTTTGCATTCACAACTTGGCTAATTGATTGGCACAAGAGGACTAGCTTTTGGCCTGTCTTGCTTTCAACATGCC